CTTCAGGGTTGCATGTTAGCACAGTGGTCGTACACTGTATCACTCTACAGGCCATTTAGTGAAGATTTACATATAGACAGGGCGGTCGCAATATTACCTCAAAGAGTTCCCATCAATGATCCCCGTTCAGGTACAGTACCAGGGGGCTGGACACCCTCTTTTTCGTGGTAGGTGAGCGAGCTTATTTCAAACGTTATGATCCATAGTTCGCCTTGGACTATTGAAAATTGGAAATTCAATCGTGGTGCGGCTCTCGTGAAATGATGCCGATCACATATTGATTCCGCCGAGCTGGGTAGTGACTTTATGGGGATAGGCAGGGTCAACATTGCTTTACTAAGAGATGGCGATCAACTCCCTGTGCTTTGGCAAGTCAGGTATCTTCGGTGGTCAATACTATAATAAATCGAGTAAATGTAAAAGAAAGTACTTGACAGAGAGCCTGCGCAAGCAAACAGATCAAGCCTACTGCGTACAGGTGCCCCGTAAGCACGATGCCGATGCCGGGTTGGAGAACCGACTGGAATAGGAGAAAGCCTTCTCCATCCTCCCTATCAAAGACGTTTGTCGATCTGGGCGTGAAACATCCTGCACCTCACGCCTAACGAATAATGCGTTTCTTCGGAGCGGTGGCGACAGTCGACGCCTGCCTGCTTCCGCACCCCTTTTCAGCGAATACGCCGTCATTATAGAAGGAATCGTGTAAGTAGCATGGTGGTGGGACGGGGGCCCGCTCCGCCCCGCTGCATATCGCATGAAGAAACTTTCTTCACAGAGCGGCATGCGTTATCGGGTCGCAGGTGTTGTATGTCGATGATCTTCAACAAGACCTGCCCCTTTCAAGGACGCCTGAGCTCTGGAAGTCACCAGTACCTGCAGAACAAGACATGCCCGATCTTACGTATCGCATTCGGGGACCCACAGTTCCAGGAACAGGGAGGGCCCAGGCCCGCTTCTATCCAGCCCAACCGCCGCACCAAAGCCGGACGCCGGCGGACGTAGAGAAGAGTGTGGTACGGCCCGCTGCCGATGTGTCTTACCTTCAACGGGCTTGGCAATACCTAAATTTGTGCTCAAGAGTCTTTGCGTCGGTAAGCTGGACATGTTCCCCTGAGCATCATCATTCAAAGACATACACCCGTATACCACAGTGGTTTCCCGTTGCACTGTAGCCCAGCATGTGTCGTGTCGGTAATCGGACGGATATAAGGCACAGATAGTCTTTCAAACCCTGCGCCAACTCCTAGGCGATCAGCATTGGATCGGGACAAACAGCAGCGAGATCTACCTGTGCAATTGTAAGCGCATAGCAATCGGCGTCCAGGTTGGAAGATTGCGCTACAACCCTGACTAAACTTTCCCAACGTTTAAACGGAAAAGTCAGAAGAGGCAAAGTGAGTAGCCTAACGAGTCTTTCGAAAGATACAACTCGTTTTGGAAACCCTCATGCAAATACGAATTGGCAGCCCTGTGTGCGAGGGTCCAAATTGACCAATTTGCTTTCTGACATCACAACCCACCTGGTCCAGAAGAGACTTTAGCCCCCTAACGATACCGCTGAGGGTCGTTGGTGCTTATCGATAGCCAGCTCGAGCATCCTTTTCGTCATGCAGACGATCACTTGTCACATTTCGCAAAGGGAGAAGGTGGCAAAGCTTGGAACGTTACGCAATTGAAGTCTGCGCGCGCGTCCATCACAGCCCTGTTCGGGCTGCCTTCTGCGGTCAGCATCACAGTAGACCCGGGCAGCACAGACAGGCAGGCACAATGCTACCGTACCGGACTTTGTAAATGCGAAAACGGCACGGGAGAGTAGAGGCGACGAAGCGGCATGCCCTTGGCCCCGGTAACAGACTTGTCTACCACACCACAAAGCCAGAACATTGAGCTCGGTGTGCGCACATCGTGCAGGTTCTGTCGTCCTGGCTTGCGGGTGCTATGAGCATGGAGTTCTCCTCTATCACGATCAAGCCCTGAAACGCCCAGAGCGCATCGAGCCAAGCAGATTGACAGCCAGAAGTACGCAGCGATGTAACCGCAGTGTCGCGCTCACGCATATCTTATTCTGCTGGGCCTCGTGACCTTGGCGATTCCTGGGATGCAAACCAGAGAATAGCCCTGGGTGGTTCGGCCAGTGCATCAAGGACAATGCGACTTTCCAGGCTGCTGTCAATCGGGAGAGAACCGCGCTCATAATAGCAGTGTTGCAACCCGGGAACCGTAGCAGATTATCTGAACCGCTAAGGCGGTAAGATGGGCGATGGATATATTAACGGTAAATGAAAAGTTGCCTATCTGGACGACCGCTCTGCCGTGTTGAGTTGTTGCGTGCACCAATGGGAAGACCTGCACAAGTTGACGGAATAGGGGTACCACCTTCATCAATTGGAGAATTGGACATTCGTCCGACTCTAAGTCAGTTGCTGTTGTGTCGGTCCAGCCTCTCTCTGTAGCCTTTTTGCCTTTCCCAATTCCTCGATGCCAGCACAATGTCTAGTGGTACACCGAGACCTGAGTGCACACGCCTCTTCAGGAATGGCCGCTGGATTGTCGGTTTGCTATGCCGTGAGGCCTTTCCCCTTTCGACGTCCAGATCTCTTGGTCTTCTTGTGTTTCGTGTGGAGAGGGGGATTTGTGGTGGAGTAAGTGGAGAGAGACTAGCTGGGGGAGGACGAAACGATGTCACCCCTCAAAACACCAATGGAGTCGTTCAATTGCTAACAGCAGAACTTCACTTGAGGCCTCTTGGATGCAGGGGCAAAGGAGCAAGAAGATGAAATAGGCAGCTACGCCGAGACGGTCAAGGTCGGTCTATGATTCTGGCATATCGATGAACCTGGCAGTTCCGCGACGGGCCAGGACAAGGAGAGACTCGGGTATATACAGTGTTCTAGATGAGTCAAGGAGAGACCAGTGACCTTGGACTTTGAAGCCTACCGCATCCCAGTTGCGTCATCATGTTGCTTGCGAAGTCAATCGGGCTCATGGCCGGTTTTGGTGACCTGCCGGCGGCGCAGGACCGTGATTAAGAGGCACACTGCAATGACTGATCATTAACAAAGCCCTCGTTCAGTTGAGTAGCTCTGACCGACAGATCGAGAAGAAAAGGCTATGCTTTGCAGTACGTAATGTCCGACATATTGGATACCAAGCAAATGCCTCGTCAATCTGGTCAGCCTGCTCATATTGCTTTTGACACAGCCTGCCAAGAGTGCTACCTTCTAGGCCCTGAGAATAGTACCCCCGCAATATCGTTTCATTTACCAGACTTTTGGTAAATGCCATGTAATAGGGGCTGCATTTATTGGGCGCTATCTCGCGCTTCCCTACTTACTTGCGCCCTTCTAGAGTTGCTTTTCAGCGTTTCAGTGCAGCTTCTGTAATAACGTCCACAGATAAGAGATTTGAACAGTGGCCAGACCTTCTCATTGAGCCTCCTGCAGGCAATGGCGCTGATTCGCTGGTCATGCTACGATCGAGCCGGCTCGTAGAATTGTTTAATAAATAGGCCGACAGTCTAAGTTGAAACACCCTCTGAGGACGCCGAACCTTGTGTAGATGTTTCGGTGGTGCTTCGATTCTTCGTTCGGCTCGCATCAGAAGATGCTATCCGCCGCGGTAAGTCCGCTGCCTCGTGATGCGTGCCAGGTCAAGGCAGGTCAAGGCAAGTCAAGACGAGACGAGACAAGACAAGATCCGCCAAACAGCCGGTGTGCCGAAGTCGAGCCGTCTCCAGCTGCCCACACTCCCGTCCGGCCCGCCAACAGCACCGAGCGAGGGCCTTCCTTGTCTTTCCCTCCACCTTGGGGCGGGCGGGAAGACGACAGCGGGAGGGTGGGCACGTAATATCCGACCGTCACGTACCTACATAGACGAGAGACGGCAGAGCGCATGTATGTATGTATGCATGTATGTCAGAGGGGCCACTTGGTCACCACGTACGAGAGCCAACGGCAGAGCGGACGGCAGAAAGGGGGCGACGAATGCTCGCTCGCTGGCCCCCTCACCCGGGTAAACACGATTCCAGCGCAGAGGAAGAGCAGCGCGGTACCTTACAGAATGCAGCGTCTGTGTTGATGCCTTGCGTCGCAGCGCGTCCGTCTCCCCCATAATTCTCCTTCCCATCTTGCCTGTGATGACGGTAGAAGGAAAAATGCCAGATCCTGCGGGCCAAAAAAAGATCGTCGCGCTGCCGGTGTCAAGAGATAAAAAGAAAGCAACAAAAAACGCCGCGGCTGTCTCAAACGCGCGCGACGGCTGGAGGATTGCGTCGGATCTGGAGATCTCGTGTTGGCAAAGTTGTTAGTAGTAACATGGGACGAACAATATGCCGCGCGCACCCGAACGATAGATAGTAATGCAATCTTGGGTGTTGTCAACTTTTCTGCCAGATGCCAACACCGTGACACCGACTATGTGGCACACACTGTATGATTCCCAGGCAAGAAGGCGAATGGCATGCCTCAAGTATTGTTTGTAAACACACACTCTGGCGACTGGCAAATAAAGTCATCTTCTTCTTGGTTGAGAGTTGGCAAACGTTGTAATACGCTGCACGCTATAGAGTAACTCTTGTACATAGCCTGACTGTGGGCAGGTCGCCCCCCGTTCTCGACATTGTCGTCGATTGACCCTCCATCCAAGGTAAATAACAGACCTGGTGTATTGTACATATTCCAAGTGTCGCTGAAGTTCAATTGTGTTCGCGGAGCCCCCTTTTTGGCAGTCCCCCTTAAAAATATCATCCGCTGGCCAGTTTTGCCAAGGAACCAAGAAAACAAACGAAAGGGGTATATACAACTGAGGTTCGAGAAGACGGTCGCCCACGTCTGTCTTCTTCAAGTGTACAACGCCGGTTATCCCACCCACCCATTTCCGAGTGGCCACCTCACGCCAGCTAGCAAGTCGATAGAGTCCGCGTAGTCGTCGCAGCAATAGAAGAACCAATTAAATATATCGTAACATTTTTGTCCAGGTGCAGTAAAGGGATATTGCACAGCTCACTGGCGGGCCTTGTTGCTGGCGCCGTTTTGTTCGTGAGACGCGGGCCTGCTGCTCTCCTCGATGGCGAGTTCCGTCATGCTCTCGCTCTCGTAGGTCTTGTCGCTCCTGTTGTTGCGAGGCGAGTTCATCACATTGAATCCGTCGTTGGGGCGGTATCCGACAATCTCCTGGACGTTCGGTCGACGTGCGTGCTTGATGTCGTCAACAAGCATCTTGCATGCCTTCCAAGATGTCATGATGTAGATAATTGCGTTCCAGAATCCCTGTAGGGGCAAGACGAAGGCGCTCATGTATTCCAGCGGGACGCTGACTTGGTTGACGTGGACCACGGAGTAGACACGGTTAGCACTGGATGGAATCCAAGTGACTAGTAGGGCAGTGAAGAACAAGATGGCGCACTTGGTATAGGACCATGCGGCATTGTTCGCTTCGTAAGCTGCTCTCTTGCGGATTGGATTTGAGGTCTGGGTACGAGGAGCGGATGCTGATTGCGCAATGGTCACATTGCTTTGGATAGGGAGGACGACATCTCCATATGACTCTCGGTTATTGGTTGGCCGTCGGTCTGATGAGATGGTTACCGAGTATGCTGGATTAGGGGCTCTCGGCGCAGCATCTGAACCTCGTCGACCGAGAGGAGCCAGATCAATGCCTTGCGAGGTGACAACTTCTGACGTAACGGAGACTTCTGTCGTCTTGCTGGCGTTGAAGGGATCGTCCATGGGAGGCAATGGCTCTGGATCGTGGAAGCTGCTGCTGGCACCGAACTTTCGCAATTGCTTGTGCTTCAAGTAGATTTCACGTCCTGCGCGGATGTAGATAAAGAACGTGACGAGAATAACCACCCTGTGCAAGTTAGCTAAGAGCTCCGCGGATGGTGGAAAGGGTATGTCTGCCTACCAGACGGGGCCATAGAAGGTAGCAATTCGCCAGATATCCCAACCACTGCTAACCCAACACCACAAAGTTGCGTTACCGTACATACGTCCCCTTTCGGGAGACTTCACAAAAATGTACACTAGAGCAACGATGAATGGAACACCGTAGCAACCAAGAAGGTACGGAATCTCCATCTTTCGGAGCTTCTCGCCGTCAAACTTGTAATAGAAGGTTAGGTAGACATTGATAGCCATTGCCAGCGTCCAGAACGCATCAGCAGGCATGAACCTAGGGTTGGTGTTAGATCACTATACTAGGCTCCTCGGTGAGCAGACTTACATCTGGATGAGAAAAGCTTGGAATTGACAACCTGCAGAATTGGTGTCACCGATATATGTCCTGGCCATAAGGGTTGCCACATTGGTCATCATGTTACCGAACGACGCATAGAACACCAGTCGGTTGATGGGCTTGTGGAACGACTTGGAGAGACAGAAGGTCGCAATGATGAAGATGCAGCCGAGTAGCGAGAATACGGAGCAGACCCGCTCGATGATGCTGAAGCCATCGAGCTGGTTCGGGGTGATATCTGAGGCGTGCATCTTGTATATGAATCTCTGGTGGGATATAATACGGTAAGACGGCGAGAGTATTCAATATATTGAGACTCCTAACGAAGCAAAGTGCTGCAAAGGTCTTTGAGAGACTGAGAAATCAGGAAGACAAGTCGGTCATGTCCTCAACAGGTGAACCGTCGAGAGCGAACTGGCTAGGACCGGCAGTTCTCGTGCTCTATGCGTCTCATCGAAGAGCAGCGTGGAGCCGGTATCACGGTGGGGATGTGGGAACTCGAGGTGTATTTGTAGAAAAGGGTTGTAGAGCAGAAAGGTATCAAGGAGGTTTGGTAGCGAAGATCAGCGCAATTCAGAGGGCCAGAGGACGACTGCCGAGCACAGTGTGGGTAGGGCCGAGGAGTCTGAGCTGTCAGACTTTAGCTGTGCTGATCGCAACAAAATCCACGTTGTGGACCAGGCACCGCAGGAAGGTCAATGGTCAGGGTGGAGGACAAGGATCCCTCAAGTACTTACTCGGCTGGCATCACATCACAAGTGGGTGTGTGCAGAAACGCTCGAGCATGCAAGGCCAGAAGCAGCACCCACAGTGTTCAGCATTCACCTTGTCGAGGAAGGCGTCTGTTCGTTGAAGGGTTCAGTCCACGCCGAGCAGCGGACAGATGAATGGCGAAAGACGAGCAACAACCATGCAGCTCCCAGACCGGGATGCGCTGCAGCGACACGACCCCACGGTTGGATGCTTCAGGTACACTTGTTTCCTAGCCCAGAGGCATGTCGACCATGGTGGGCGGCCGGGTATGAGCTAGGGGTTTTGGATAAGAGCAAGGAGAGAGGCAGACGGGAGCTGTGCGCAAGAGAAGAGTTGAAGCGCAAAATGCCATCAGACGGCAAAATGCAAAGCAGGGTCTGAGTGAGAGACTCGACGGCCGTGGCCTGGCTATAGAAGGAGGACGAGGAGGGCCATTTCTCGCTGTGGGAGAAGGCCCTTAGGGTCTTGGGGTCTTGGGGCCTTTGGGCCCGGATTGGCTGTGCTGGTGGTCCATCCACAGATTCCATGACAACAGGCAAATCAAGACGATGGTGTAGTGTATTGTACTGGAGTACTGAGTACCGCGGTACTGCCTGCTCTCTGTGTCTGCTGCCCCCAGAAAAGAGCACACAACATCAGCGCCAGTATCCTCGAGGGAGACACATGGGACAGCGTGTGGGCGGGCAAGGGGGCCCCAGTCCGTTGAAGATGATGATGACGGCTTGTCTCTGGCACAAGAGCCGGGGTCGTGGAGTACATGTCCGAGCAAGCCAGCTTGGCGCGGGGATGGTTGAACCTGGGGAGCCCTCGAGATGCGGTGGCTGATGTATCGCTACTTGGCGGCTTGGGTTGAGCAAGGGGGACCATTGGGCCGCTGTCCCCCTCCCCTGCACTGCCCATGCATCCTCATGTGCGCACCCTTGGCTAGCCGGACAGGCCTGAGTAAGGAGAGACATGAAACCCTTGTCCTGCCATGTGAGGCAGAGAAACGGAAATCCTGCAGTAGGCCCGCTGACGTTGAGACACTGAGACACTTTCCCGACCTCCAGCGGCGCTTTAGATAGGCGGGAATAGACTGCCTGCTGCTCAGACTCGGAGAGAGAGCGCAACACCATCAGACGCTGACAAGACCCTTGATGCTTGATGTCGCCGGCATGGAAGATGTGAAAGGTGGCGACATATCGCCATGACCCCTTGGACGCCTCTCTCTTTGAGACGGGGGATTCTGCCCATCTCCAGGGATGATAGGATAATACCTTAGCCTGCACGCCGCCGGGGATTCTTTGGTGATCGCACTGTCATTGCCCTCTCTGTAGCAGGTGAAGTCGATGCCGAGATATGCCCATTTCAGTCAGCGCAGGGTAGCCGCAGCTGCGAAATTGTATTTGAGCGTTTTCCTGCGCCGTTGCCTACCCAAAACACGAGGAATTGGCACTCTTAGAGAAGGTCGTCTCTGCAAACGGAAGCTGTTGACATCACTGAACCGTTTGAAGAAATTGGGGTCTTAATGCGCTGGGATCCGGCCAATAAGCACGTATAGAATGGGCATTTTCTCATTTCCAGTTGCTGACAGCGCTGGGATGTGGACACGACTGCCCCGTAACAGTCTTACACCATCTATTCTCCAAACGGATCTTGATGAGCCCTTTCACTTTCCCTGCATCTACAATACGTGAACAATGCGGGAGTATTTGGTACGGTGCTTGCCGTGCATTGTCTTGCTCGAGATGCTGCACTCGGGTGCGCATTGTCAAAGACGAGATGCGCTCTTGGCCCTCTTTGCGCTCAGGCAATGCGGGACACCAAGTGCAGCAGCGCAGGAGCACCCGGTCTCCATCACCAACGCCTATCATCCCGGAACGGCCTCCAAGACCTTCAATCTAGCCTCTAGCCTAGGATTCCCCGCGCCAAGGGTTGGGACTACCAACAAGAACAAGCGGCGCCGCTCGTTGTCGGGACGGCTGGCCGTCCAGATGGCCCCTCTTTGATCAGGAAAATCGACTATTGACGAACAATGCGACGTGCCAAAAGTCTTGGACCATCTTGGCTTCTTACGCGTGACACACATTGCAGACAAGACACGGACGGCCGGGCGAGGAAGCAAGCAGAGGGAATTGGATATCCGGTGAGGAAGTCTCCTCCGGTCGTTTCGCAGAATGGTGGCTTGTCGAAGGCATCGTCATTCGCCCTGCGGTCAATTGCCCAGATGCGATCCTGCACGACAAGACAGCACGAGCAGGGTTGAACAGTGCCATTTGTTACGCCACCGCGAAACCAGCCGCTTACTCTCTCCCCTCCATTGCCTGGATGGATGGACGGATGAACCGCGGCGATTCTCACGGTGAACCATGGGCCATGACGCATATCTGGGGATCTCTTCTGCTTTCCTCCCACATTCCCGAATCGCACGATGCGTGGCATAATCCTCCTTGGAAGCCCTATGCCTGTGCCGCCAAGTGGAACGTCTGTAATACGGTACTGAACAGTCTTCTTGATATCCGGTTCTATCTTTGGTGGTCATGTTTGCCAAGCTTGTTTCAACTGCTTGATCCTCTTCCGCAGAGTCCTGGTTAGCGAGCGGCGATCAGGCTGAGGGAATCGACCATCTGTTCATACAGTACAGCATGGGCTGTTGATACGCTGCAAGTCACTGATAAGGAGGGGGAGCGCCATGTTTGGGGACGGGCATGGGGGACGGGCGTGCAGGGCGCAACTCCAATGCTGTGCCTCTCGAGCACTAGAGCAACCCTGAACACATCCGACGCCTCCAAGATCTCGTGCTGTAGTGTAGATTTAGCATCATGAGAAGGCAGGCAGGAACCGTCGTCTGCTAACCGTGCGCATGGTCATGAGTTGAAAGGATATCCTTACTAGCCAGCCAGCCAGCCCAGCCCAGTCAGTCCTCTGCAACTTGATTTTTTAGTTCGCATCTGCTAGAGTGTTTCTTGGCAACTCGTTTCAGGCCCTGTGTTCCCCATCTGAATGCTGAAGCGAGGAGCTTGAACTCCCATGCCCCCAGTCGTTCCCCAGACGCCACCATTAGAAGCAATTTAAAGGCGCAATACGATAGTAAATTCCGAGCCAAAAATGCTCATGCCAATTGCGCAGAGCGGCGGTCTGCAGAGAAACTGGCTACTCAAGGGTCCCCCTTTCCATCCCCGGTTTCCAGTCTGCCACGTCCAGCTTGGAGCCGTACCCGAAGTAACCCTGACACCGAGTTTCCCAGGTTTCAAGGGCCCCGGTCCTGCTGCCCTGACCACTGCAAAGTTACCTCCATTGTTGGAGAAAGAGCTGCGAGCATTTTTTTTCTCATTGGTCGTCATCTCACAACCTCTTTTAGGGAAAAGAGTATCTGAAGTGTCTGGTGCGTGTCTGTGCGGGCCGCCAATTTTCATTGAACTCGCCCGTTCTTCACAAGACGCAGGGGTGCAGGTCGAGATCATGTTTCAAGGCTTTAGGGTCGACCTCCATCTTCTTGCGGCAAAGCTCTACTACGTACGTGCTTGAGTACGTACAGGATGACTGGATCTTCCTGATGCCCCGTCGATTTGGAGTATCAAAGCTCAACGAGCTCACATGGCCCTGGTAAGATATCATCATCGCCAAGCACCGGAGAGTCAGATGCCATCGAGGAAGTCTCCGTGCCAAATTTCCTACCCTAAATGCCAAGAGCCCGTATGTCAATGGCAGTCTGAAGGAGACCGGGATGGAAATAAAGTGACACTCCTCATACTGTACAAACGGATTGGGACAGACACGGCAGCGAGTATATCCAAGACGGGAGCTCACTTGGAGTGACCTACCGCAAACGGTACCGGCCAGGCTGAGCGCGCACGCACTCGCACAGGGCATCTGCACAATGTATCTATCGGTCATGCGCCCGCAGGACAAACGAGCCGTGACGGGGTCGGCATCTGCAGCGGATGCGGCTTCCCATCACAGGAGACGCACCTCGCCGTGCCGCCTGGACACAAGAATCCAGACAGTGCAGATACAGTTTTTTAATATGCCACACCTTCTGCTACCCAGTCTCGACCTCGACGTTGGCTAGAGTGGCTGGACTGTTGCGGCTATTGTGGTTGCTGAAACAGGCAAGCCTCTGAAGGAGCGCATCCTATGTTTGGCGATTGCCCCTCAGTGACGCAGTTGAAAGGTGGTCTTCGCTGATGAGAGTTGACCATGCGACTTTGACCTGTCTTAGCTCTTATCATAACAAAGATTTTATGAAAATCCCATGGCACCTTTCTTTGGTACGCTAATTCTGTTAGTTTGGGTTCGTGAGGGAGTGGCTTTACCCCTGATGCTCACTTGTCGATAACAGTCCTCTTATGGATCTCACCAAATATCAAAGAGTGTACAGTACCGTATACAATTTGGCTTGGATCGCCGACCGCGTCTTGCAAATCGGCGCGATCTCGTCAAAATACGGCACCTGGCCCCGGGGATCGCCAACTGAAATTGACAATCATCAAAAAGCTTCTTTGGTGAAATAAGCATGCTCGGCAAGGCAAGCATCGCGAACTACCGCTGCAGGACTCGAGGGGGGCCCGACTCCAAGATGGAGACAGCCAGGCTGCCAGGCCAGGCCAGGCCAGGCCAGGGGTAACTGTCGATGATGACCGTGAAAGATATGAGAGCAAACCCCACCGCCATGAAGATCAACTTCCGCTTCCGTGCTGCGAACCCCTGAGCGGCCCGGAGGAGAAGACCACCAGGAACGCCGCCGGCAGGTGTGACCGCTGAGGCTCTTTGTGCAGAGAGGTGTGGTGTCGCTGCATTTCCGCTGCATCCGCGGCCGTGGTCGGGCACCACCAACAGGCCCAACCCCGGGATTCTCGAGGGCGGCGCGTCGTCGGTATTGGACGGCTTGGAGTAAGTGGCTACAGAGGACTCGAGTAGGGGCTCGACCGTCGATGGTACCGAGCTTTGCTGTTGCAGAACTGTGCGACCCTGTTCCTGGATCACCAAGATTGTGTGTGTGGGAATGCCCCGATTTACCTAATAGTGCACTGTAGTGCATAGTAGATGCTCAATCGTTGACGGTCCCATCGACTTGGACAAGATCGTCCGGCGTAATTACTGCCTGCTTGGCTTGGAGATGGCCGTTCATTCGCGGTGACGCGCTGGAGAAAGGCCGAAAGTCAATAGTCAGTTTAGTGTTTGATTCATCTGTGGAGGCGGTTCGCGGGCTGGCCCGGGCTGTCAAATATTGAATTGTTGCCAAAGCCAGCCGTTGATAGCAGATAACGTTATAGTTCCTACCGGTGATGTCGATATCAACTTGAACACTGTGCAATGTCATCGTGACTGAAATCTGGTCAGGATCATCTCACTTGTGAAATGGAGGGAGGTCAGCAACTGGGATTGGAAAACCCACATTCCGTTGCTCAAGGCTGGTTTGAGCATTGACTCGAATTCACTTATACCCAGCTATCGAATGGGCGGCCAACTTGGCCTGCATACCAAGAGTCCCCAGTCACACCATCAAGCTTCCCCGAGGCTGTCTCTCCTTGACGATCGCGAGAGTTCTGGGCGAACGATATGGGCGCACAGACCGCTGGGTTTTTGGGAGGGACGAACCTGGAGAGGGACGACACGAACTTTTCCCCGCCCAGGGTTCGCTTGGTGTACTTTCGTCTCTGCAACCCTACAATATCTGGGAGGCTGAAGAGAAACCTCGCTACGTGCCGTCTGGACCTGGCTTCACGAGCCCGGTCAGCCAGCTGCTGGTGGCTGCCAAGTTGGGGCACAGCTTGCGCCGTCCAGGGCCAAGAGGCTTTGGCGACCCCTCGCTTCGCTTGACAGCTTGACCTAAGTCAGGAGGCCAACAAGAGAGGGCATTGTCGAAGAGACTAGGCCAAGAGGCGCGGCGATTGTCGTCGAGAGGCAACTATCGGGCTTGTCGTCTCGCTAGCATCAAACGTCAAAGCGCATGAAAGTGCAGCCCGGAGCTTGCTTCTACATGCCTCACCTCAGTGGCGCATGAGCCCAGACCCCGTTCCCCTCACCGCTGCTATCACGAGGTGTAGATGCACCTACCTACCGTAGCGGGCGAGCTGCCGTCCTGTCAAGGAAGCAGGTACCAGAGCCGGCGATGAATGAGAAGACACTGCTGAGACGACGGCTGGTCTGTCTGCGCCGAGACCAAGCTCCAATCTGCATGAGACAAGACAGCGTATCGCCTCTGTGGTGTCTGATCGTGAACGCCTCCTCCTGACGTCTCTCGAGCTGCCTCTTACGGTCCCTGTCAGCCTCGTGCCCTGACTACACAGAGAAGTCGACGATAAGGCAAATCGCGACGCCATCAACTTTCCTCTAGACGCCACCACCATGGCCATAAGACTCACGGGCCTCTTGGAGATCAGCGCGCTTCGTTCGCTGTGCCTGCTCGAAGGATGAGCATCGTTGACCGTCCCATGTGTCAGATATGATTGAGTGAACAAGAACGCCACCAGCGCGTCAGCGCTCGCAGGGGTGGGTAGATCGGCCAGAGAGCGCCAGACACGACAGGAACGCCCGCCAGAAACTGCTCGCTGGACTGGGCTGACGGTTCAACCTTCCCTGCCTCCCGCCTATCTCGCCGAGGAAATCTCCTTGCATAAAGCATTCGGTGACCCATGGGCTCACTCACGTGCTGACTAGGTAGGCAGGTGGTCTCGCCGTACGCGTAGCATTGTTTCGCCCCATGGGAGTCGACTTCATATTCCTGGTTTGGGGGAAGAGATTCCTAGAAAACGGGAAACAACAATGCTCTCTAGCGTGAACGATCAATCAAAGGGAAACAGGGAAACTTTGCATTCTGAAAATAGATAACGCAGTTATAGCGAGTTTGCTCGTAAGACGACGGATCACACTGTACATAGGCTTGAAATGCTCGCCCTTTCACGTCGAGAATTATGCTCCTGACGTTGTCGTCTGAGGCAACGTGCAAGGTGCTTACAGTAAGGATGCAGACCCAGGCTTGCTGTTGCTAAAGGTCCAATGCTGTTCAATCACAAACTGTCACTGTCATAAGTTGCGCCAAGGAAGTTAAGCTATCTGCTTTTGAATTGCGGATATCGACCTTTATCTACAAAGTACTATCACAGAAAGAGAAGGACGGAAAAGGCTATGAACTTCATAGAAGATCCGGTGGCCATCTCATCACGTCACTTCATAACCTGCGCCCCTGATCCAACTCCCTCAAAAGATCGAGCAAGTCGAGTTTGCATCACGCCTGTCATCGTTGTCTGCGAACTTTCGCGATCGCCGTCGTCTCCTTGCTCCTCTATTGTGACAATCCGGAGAAGCTAACGCAATTCCCAATCCTTCAGCAAAGCCCTGAATATCTGTACAAACTTCGAAACAAGCAGCAATCTGGTAGCAAGAATCCCAGCCAAGGTCAGGGAAAGAGATATCAGCTGCGATGGAGGGTATTATAACATGAAAGACCTTAACGCCCCAGATTGGTGGAAAGAGGCTTTTTAAAGCCCCTATTATTCAATGTACGCAGGGTTGTTGAATGGAAAGATTCCGCAGTTCGTGACAAATCGCGGAGATAGAAGGCTGTAGTCTGCTGTGAGTCTTAGAAAATCGATTCTGATAGTGTCGACGAGAAAACCGATCCTGGCAGAGTACTTGTCGTGATGTAGAACGTGTGCTTGTATGTTCGGTGAACTGGTGATCAACTGGTTAATCACTCAGATTCCTGTCGCACAGCAGTAATTAGATGGTACTGCCAGAATGTGCCGAGCTCCTTGCACTCCTGCACAATGGATTTGTCTTCCCACCACCAGTTGTCGGTAGCGACATGACGACCCCAGACCTCCTTCCACAGCATTCTGCCGACTTGGCTATAGAGTCTAGGTGTAATGTCGAAATGTGTCTCTAGATCCTCCACCTTCGGAAGGTCACCAGCGATCGCATGGAACTTGGGCCTGACAATGGTGCTACCCTCGGCACGAAGATGAGTTTCCTCCAACCAGTTGGGAAAGAGTTTGGTTGGATTCATGCAGCGGAATTTTAGCTCCAGGTTCAGAAGCAGATGCTTCTCGAGCCACGTGCGCAGCCTGGGACCAAGCGTGTTGACCTCAGGGGCTGGGTTGATGAGTATGAGACGCAATGATCCTCCTGGAGCCAGGCAGCGATGAATGGCTCGGAGCATATGTGGGATATCGGACGACGCAACCAGAGAAGGTAGTGACAGACTGTAAACTTCCGCAAAGCTTTGAGGCGCGACTGACAGGGCGGATGGAGACACGGTGGGAAAGAGCATTGGATGTACGTTAGGATAGATCGTATGCGACAGAGGCTCAGGCGAGAGATGATATACTGGCGCATAGTTCCGGAGTGACGCTAGATACGAGGCAGTTGCTGAATCACACACGGTCAGTATGAAAGTATGTAGATAGAACAAGGGGCAGCCGCTGACCTTGAGTCTCGAAGAGGGCCAATACTTTGGTCACCGTGGGCTGAATCCTCCTTGCTAAGATGGCCTTCGCTTCGTCGTCAGGGGTAATCACATCCAATTGGTGAATAGCTGCAAGCATCCATCGCTGCTTCTCCCTCGCCATTTCCTCGAGCATTTCCGGATCGTGAATGTTGCTACCGGTCTCCGTGAGACGGAGGTAAATGATGGCGGGAGATGCAGTGGCCATTTTCTTAATCTCGCGCTGCATCGTTGTCAGGTCTAGCGCCATGGCGTTTTCCTCATCATTCTCATTTGGTATCATCATCACATTTTCCTCCCCGATGGTCGAAGTCGATGAGTCCGAAGCACCTGCAGTGTAGGTTTCCCAGGCTTCCGGTGCCTTCCATTGGTCTGGCCTTCTTTGCGTCCGAGCGAACTTCGACACCCACGGCGGTAGAGGCGGCAGAGGCATGACGGCTCTCTCAGCGCGACCTTTTGGAGATGGAAGTGTGGAAGGGTCAACTTTGCCTCCGGGAGATACTGGGGGAGCAGACCTGTCGAGCTGAGGTGTGAGAGGTGGTGATCTAAGGACCGTAGTTAGTAGGGCATATGGGCAAAATGAAATGGCAGTGATACTGACTGAGATCTTTGGAGGATCGGTGTCACAGGCAGTTCGTGGTTAGGGTCCGCGGTTATCGTGATGCCCGACAAAAAGTGATTCGCATTAGTCTTGGATGTTTGCTTTTCGTACGTGTACTCGGTAATTTTCGTGACGTAGGAGCCTCCTCCTAGATCCTGGAGGTAAGATTTACCGTAACCTGAGTCTGCAAAGGAGGCGCCGGAAACGGAGGGAGAGCCGATTGTGCCGCCGGAACGGTCAGTCCATTTGGAGAAGATAGAATCTATGAAGCCTAGAGATGAGTGAGATGTACAGAAAAGAAGGCATGGGCATGTGAGAATACGCACCTCTCGAAGACCGGTCAGCTGGAGAGGTGCCACCCGACTCAACAACACGTTCTGGAGCGTAATTTCCTTCTGTGGGTTGTACTGGAGCAAGTCTGCTGCTGTGGGTGGTGGATGATGGCTGGGTTGTCCGGAGGGAGTTCTTCCTCGTCTGTGTCTCTACACTCGGAGTGCGAAGCTGGCTCAGCTTTGTAGCAGTAGATGGTGTTAAGCTCTTCTTAGAGCCTTTGCCGCCAAAGATGCCAAATGCTTTGTCTGCTGAAGATGCTGAACTACGTGTCGAGACAGATGTCCGCCCGCTCTGAGAGCGTTCATCATCCCGCTTCTTCTTCTCAGCTTTCTCCTTCTCAATACCCTTGCGAGCTCTTCGCTGGCCGACATTCTCGCGATTGTGGTCCGTCCAGATGACATCAAACATCGTGACTTAGTCCTCTAGATTTATTTGCAATTCGTCTTGAGGAATGACCTTGATGACAGTGCAATGTTGATGATGTATACATCCAGAGGATGCCTTTCAAGGTATGTTGAGCAAGATAAAAGGAATTAGACAATAATCCTTGAGACCTTGCTTAGAGGCATAAAGAGGATCAAGTTGACTTGTGTGACCTCAATGGTAGTCCAAGCTTCAAGTTGCCAATAGTGATTGCAGTGGGGAAGTGATCAGGAACACTGCACGCCACTGCACGCCACCGCGACAGGAAGGATATGAGGCGGTATTGAAAACACGAGACAATGTGATCTGGGCCGAGACCTTTGCTGTGGTCGCTCCTGCCAGAGGAGATCACAAATTGGCTTTCTCCAAAAATGACGTGCAAATATTCGAAGAGTGCTTAGAAGATGAGATCAGTGGGGTGGTTGGAGGTGTGTGCGTGAGGGTAGAAAGATGGGGGCGAGGAAGATGTTTTCGTCGATAGATACGCAATGTGAGCTTTGACAATGTAGGTGAAATCAATTCAGAGCTGCGCCTCTTGTCTTAGAATAAAGCACATCTGCAGTGAGGTTTGCCTGGCTGCGATGTTCAATCAGGGTGAGGACGTCCAAGAAGAATGAGGGCTAGCTGAGAAAGATGAAGCCGGACAGGTTTGGTGTGGTTTGGCAAATCCGGTAGCTGAAAAGAAATAAATTGGGTGAGAGTGTGCGCGCGCGGGTTCCTTCTGGGTTTGGGAAACGACGTCACTTCCAAGTAAGTCGTGAAGGTGCGCTCCTCAAAGGTAGCGAGGGCATGTATGGGAGGTAAGTAGATGGGAAGATGGGACGCGATGCAAAGTAAAGCATTACACGCCACTGTGGAGGTCGAGATCTTGTAGGGAGGTCGATAGGATGGAAGGAGGTAGGTGGGTATGTAGGTATGTACTCGGATCTTCGCTTCCAGGGAACTGGGGCGAGTGTTGACTGATCCCTCAAACAGAACAACACTGGTGGACGCTAGCTGTCGTCATTCATCTGATCCAGCTGCAACGTCCAAGCATCGGAATTCCTCAAGTCACCGTTGGCTGTCATCCATTCTATGTGTAAGGCAACTTTTTCAGCAATTCTGATTTGTGATAGATGAATGAAGTCAGACATGTTATGCCCTCCACTTACCGTTATGTTGCTAGGCCTCCATGTAGGCGGGTTACCTAGGTAGAGCTATCAGAAAAGCTGGAGGTTGACGAGAAACGATATGTGGATGTATCGGCAGCCTGGGAGGGAAGGTACGACTGCTATAGACATTGGGTCCGTGCCATCACGGCCGAAGGCTCATCTTTCTGGGTCAGGTTGTACGGGAACGACCTGATGGGCAGGGTCAGTCTTTTCAGTGTCACAACAGAAGAACTACGCAGGATCTGTCTGGCTCTCTCCCCTGGCGGGCACGGAGAATCTGTCAGATGCAGTGCCGTGAGATCTGGACTACGCAATGATAATCCCCGTGTCTGGCGGTGATAAGCCATGCACGGTCTTTGCTTTTCTCTAGATACGCCGGAAGCCCCGTGTTGTTTCGCCTTGCATATGCAGCAGGAGAGCCAGCCATTCCATCCCAAACCCGGCAATTGGGCGTCGGAGATTGATGCTAGCACGCTGCTAACCCAGCCTCAACAAGGTGCTCGTGCCGTGCTCTGACTAGCAGCACATGGCAATTAGTCTTTTCCTGCCAGACATCGAACGATTGCATGCCGCTATCGAGGTGCCATGTGGTGTCTGGTCGTCCCGTCTGGGGCCTTGGGCCTTGATCCTATCCAAGCGGTCTTGCAAAACAAACACAGAACAGCTCGTCCCGATGCAGCTCGTGGGAGAGTGGCTGAAATGAACAAAAGGGTCCTCGAGTCAGGGACCAGCCTTGGCAAATGCAATTGTTTGCTTCACGCATTGGACCAACCTCAGCTGCAGCCCGCCTCCTAACCGTGGCTCCTACCAGGGGACCGGATAACACTCCAGCAAAGGACACGAGGAGCGCAAGTCTTACTACCAAGGGATAGGTAAATCCATTGGCGAAATCTGTTGTCTTTGCTCATGGGAAATGGTACTATAAGCCTCGAATACATTACTTTACCAGCAACATCATACATCCGACGGAGTGTTTATTGGACCGGACCATGAGCAAGGAGTAAGGCTAGTGCGTCACGGAAGTCGGCCAACTTCAGAATTCCCTGCCTAGATATCGAATCCCAATTCAACGCTCGGGGGAGTGCGCGACCGTGGGAAAGAGGCGCAAGAGGCTGGCGGCCAGAACTTCTCAGAACACAGCAAGACATGAGGTCAGAATTCACATTTCCCTGCAGCTCCGACCTGAAAAGCAAAGCTCAGCTAATGTTAGTTTGAGGGTCGCCGCTACAGGTGCGGATCCGGGGCGTTCATACTAAGGTCCAATCTAGCCCATACGCGGTCTAGCTTTACGCCTTTTAGTGTCTCGAGCGGCTGGAATAGGACAGCCGCCTCGATGCTATTGGACAGGAGGGCGAGGTATCCTGGTTCCGATCTTCCACCAATTCAGGTCATCGAGCGGGGGTTGGATTGACACCTGCTACCCAAGCAAGCCCGAGAAGACCTCATTTTACGGGCGTACGAACGTGATGAGTTCCCACTATGATAAGGACGGCGTCTCGAATCGAATCATCAAAATAAGGCAGCCCAGGGAAGTTCTCTGTCGTCTTCGCTGTTACTGTGAAAAGTACATGGAAGCGTTTGAATGTTCCAGTGCTTTGAAACATTGCTTTCCTTCCACGCGGCAATGATCTGCCCTGCGCGGAGAAACCTCCTCTGCGTGGATGGCGCATGAAACATTAGCACCCCCGCGACGAGCCTAACTCACATCACATAGCACCCTCCACTGCGGGAAATAGCTCTTTTGAATTATCACACGAGATACCATGAGACCGAACGGTATGCTATCTCGTGGATTGAGCCCCTTGAAGGTCTAATTTCGGGTATCTGAAGAGTTGGTTGTCTCTACGAAACGCGTGCAGTGTTGTTAGTCTGGTGCAAACCTTGAATGTCTCAAAAACGACCGAATCAGACAGTACGACCTGTCACCAATTGTCTCATACCTCCGCCGAATATACTCTCCGCAGGTCCTCTGTCATAGATCTCACAGACTTAGTCTAGGAATTGATGCATGGACAATTTCGATACGTGAAATGCAAAAAGCGATGTTGAGAGACCCAGGACACACCGGCAACTATTTCCTCCCGATTATGATTTTTGTGAGAAAAGTGATGCGCGTCCTGCATCCAGCCGGCGGCCTTATAGGTCCAACTCCTAATTAGTGACATCTGTCTCGCTTATGAATGCTGTTAGGGGGTTCGTAAACATAGAAGGGCAATCGCATAATAAAGTAATGCACACCGTTGAACAGTCGAAGTTTGGTATCGCGACAGAATAAAGGGGAGCGAAAGGGGCAGGATCGTCGCTCCGCGCAACGCGAACTCGGACGTCGTGAGAGGGCGTGTAGAGATTCAACGTAGTGCAGCCGGCGACTTCTTATTACCTGACCAGTGATATTAGGTACATAAATAGAATAATGTCACAGAATGCCTATTGAGCATAGGTGGTGTCACTACCCTGTGAACATATCGATTGGGTGTGTCACGATGACAATGCCGAATGAAGGTTGCGGTTGGTAGAGGCTGACGGTGCCGCTGACCCAATCTAAAGTCCTGCTGGTGGTATCGCCATCCAAAGATTACTGCCAGATTGACTGATTTGTTTAACCCAGAGCAGGGTCACCGTTCTCAAGTTCATTACTCGACAACGTTATGATGATTGGCACACAAGGCCTATTGCTTTTTTATGCGTATCATTACTGCACATAGGCAGGAGAGCGGAAGCTAGTTCGAACCACACAGAGGTCGGTGTGTAGGAAGAAGCAATTCTCGGCTTGGACCGAGGGCGTTTTCCACCCACATCTAGATTGAGAGGGGCTGGTCTCGACACGGGTTGATCCAAACCTTCGGATCGAGGACCATGCTAATGCAGAGAGAAAATTTCATCAAACGTACCTGGCAGTTGCTGTGCATCATACAGGATATCTGTGTATATGTGATTTTGTGTCGGAGTTGCAGCGTGTGGCCCAACCCGCCAACACCGAAGACTGCCTTCACATTATGCAAGGCAATTTGCCCCATCTCCAGCTTCCATCTGTGCTTCAACCACCTTGTTCCCCTGCATATGGAATTGTGTCTGATTCATTCAACTAACCAGCTTCACCCATGTCATATAAACCTAAAGGTGTCTAAGCTCCCGTCATCTCTCACAAGGTTCCGTGCCTTGGTCCTTTCCCCAGTCATCTCAAATAGAGAGGAGAATCAACTTGCCACAAAGTCAGGAATCAGAGATTTGTTTCCGGACCCCAACTGACAATCAACACACTTTGAACCAAGCAGATTGGGGAGGACCATTCGTTCTTTCTTATCTCACATTTGGTTCACTTAGCATTTTCCTCTTGTTGACCCAAGGGTTCTTTGTCAACACAAAGTAGATCCAATTAGGCAAGCAAGCAACTTGCAAAGGACCCGGGCCAACATCAGGCTTCTTACGTCCAATAATCACTTTCGACATATCATCCTGCTTGGCTGATCTGGAGATCTTCTGTCACCTGCTGCTCTTTACTCTCACAGCTTGGCTCACAGCAGCACACCTGGTACCTGACATTGCAGCTTGCATCAAGCAGCTGGCCACATGAGCAAGGTACTACCCACCTCCTGCCGTTCTTACTGATCCAACGGCTACGCTACACATCCACACTTTCGTTCTTTCCCCATACCATTTCTTCCTTTCTTCTTCTCCCACCTTCCCCTAGCAACACACGCACCTCTGCGTCACTTTCTCCTAGATAACAACAGTCTGAAGCCATCGCTTGCTGTTGTGGACTCTCTAACTTATCTATCACGCCTTTCTTCTCTTGCTCACCTTCCCACCCTACCTTTTTTTCTGTCGTCATTCCCTGATTCACCTTCACCTCCACGACCTTTCCAATCCCACAATCTTGCCCAGCCCAGCAACTAACAATATCGTCAAAGCAAGATGGGCTTCCTCAACAAGCCAATGGATCGTCTCATGGATGGCATCAGATCCATCGACGACAGAATCAACAGCTCTACCTTTGGTCGAGTTTTCCGGCTGAACGGATCTGGTCACGTATGTTGTCCATTTACTCCCCCCTCTTAGATGACAGCTCCCCCTCCCCTCAAAAGGGTCATCGGTCTAGCTCACGACGTTGATCGCTAACATCACATGCGACGTATAGCCGAAGCAGATCGAGGATGCCAACTTCTCCACTGAGATCCGCGCAGGTTTGACGACTTTTGCTACGATGGCATATATCGTCGCAGTCAATGTAAGTCAGCCGCATGTGTACTAGATATCCAGATATCTTTGCTAAAATGTCACAGGCTACCATCCTGGCTGATAGTGGTGGCACTTGCGAATGCAAGGACCTTAATCTGAGCGCGGAACCTCAGTGCTCCAACGAAGCCGAGTTCTTGAAGTGCCAAACTGGTCAGTGTCCAAGGAGCATGAGTAGGCCCATTTGTTGAAAGACTGACCAATTTTTAGAACTCAAACGTGACCTGATCACTGCCACTGCTGCTCTGTCTGGTTTCGCGAGCATTCTCTTCGGATTCCTGACAAATCTCCCTGTTGCTCTAGCGTATGGTCCTCCCTCTCAGTTTAGATTGCCACCCATTGCTGACAGAAGAGCAGTCCCGGCATGGGCCTCAATGCCTACTTCACTTACCAAGTCGTTGGTGTCCGTGGCTCTGGCTCTGTTCCGTACCGTCTCGCCCTCACGGCTGTGTTTGTTGAAGGCTTCATCTTCATCTTCCTAGCCATCACCGGCATGCGTCATTGGCTTGTCAAGATAATTCCTGGCACTCTCAAGACAGCAAGCGGCGTGGGAATCGGCATGTTCCTCACCTTGATTGGAATGTCATACAGCTCGGGAATCGGTATCGTGACCGGAAATGTGGTGACCCCTCTTGCAATCGGCGGCTGCACCGGCGATCATTTGCACAACGGAACCTGCGATGGCGGTATCATGACAAACCCTGGGGTATGGGATTCCTATTTTCGGCTATGAGGCTATTCTTTAAACTGACTTCATGTAGATGTGGATTGGTATTGTCTTTGGTGGACTTCTCACGGCGTTTTTGATGGCTTTCCGCGTCAAGTCTGCGATCATCATCGGCATTCTTATTACCTCTATCCTCTCATGGCCGTAAGTTATTTCTCTTCGTGTAGTTAGAAAAGCTAGCTAAGCAATGCTTAGGCGCGGTACTCCATTCACATATTTCCCAGATACCGAAGAGGGACAAGAGAGGTTTGATTTCTTCAAACAGGTCGTCGCTTTCCACCCTATACGACAAACCCTTGCGGTTCAGCAGTGGAACTTGCTAGGTGAATATGGCGGCAAATTTGCCCTTGCGCTCTTCACTTTCCTATACGTTGATATCATTGACTGTACCGCGACATTGTACTCTATGGCTCGCTTTTGCAACAAAACTCGAGCGAGGGACGGCGACTTCCCACGTTCGACGGTGGCCTATTGCACCGATGCCTTCTGCATTACCATCGGCTCACTCTTTGGATGTTCTCCGGTCACAGCTTTTATTGAAAGCGGTGCCGGAATTGCAGAGGGAGGACGGACTGGACTCACTGCTATTGTCTGTGGGTTCTGCTTCCTGGTCTCGATCTTCTTCGCTCCTATCTTTGCCTCTATTCCGCCTTGGGCAACCGGCTGCACACTGATTCTTGTAAGTTTCTTGCCGCAACATTGAGCTGCTTTCTTTTACTGACTCCAAAAGGTCGGCTGCTTGATGATCCGACAAGTCGTTTCTGTGAATTGGCACTATGTTGGTGATGCTATTCCTTCCTTCGTCACCATTGCCTTCATTCCGTTCAGCTACAGCGTCGCATACGGCCTGATTGCGTAAGTTTCACGTCACCGTAAACATTTTCTTTCTCAGCAAGCTGACATCCTTCAAGCGGCCTCTTCGTCTACACTGCTCTCAACACTATGATCTGGGTCGTCATCAAATGCTCCAGAGGAGCCATTGAGCCACGCGATTATGAGCTCAAGGAGTACTGGACTTGGAAACCTGTTGGTGAGAAACCCTGGCTCATTCGGATTTTCACCAGAAACAGCTCCCGATTCTGGGAGGACGAGCGTGGTGACATGAATGACCAAGATTTCGTGCTGCATGAGAACGAGAGTACTCGCAACTCCCAGCTTGGATCCACCACCACATCGGATGAGAAATGTCTGGAGAGGATTGCGTCGCCGGAGCGTTGTGTCCTCCGCCGCGATTGATGAAATAATAATCATTTCCAATACAGGCAACTTGCCTGTGTGATTTGCGCAGCCTGGAACAGCTGTCAGCAACTACTTGACGATTGAAGTTGGATTTCTTTAACCGGCACAATGACGAACTTTCATCCTGTTGTTGATAGCTTACAGGTGGCTTCAGAAGTTTGGTATGACAGGCTTGAGATCTACTTGCATGATCGAAAAGTCTCTAGATGGACACATGCCAGATCTTCTTAATGGTCTCGCACCCCTCCATTGTCCATAATCCCAAGAAAGGAAAGCCTTTCTATCAGTCTCCAGACTCTAGATACCTTGTAATGGCCTCTACGTGTATTAGTATTTGACATTAGATCATTATCTCTGCAATATGATCATAGAACTCAAGAACAAAATCTTGTCGCAATTGTATCTGATACATTTTTGTGATCGTGACGGGATGAACACCACAAAGGTGCTGGAAATATCCTTGGGTTTTGGATCAGCATAAACGGCCAGCTCCAAGCTATAGGTGCCCAAGGTGGCATAGCGGAAAATTGATGGGCCGCTAGGGATATTTTGGTAGGTAGCTTTGGTCGGGTCTAGGCACAGCAGCTCAACGTAATGGTGGGGCAACAGTAAGGGTGTTGTCCCAGAAGTCGCAAGACGAAGCTCTTCCCTCGTCATTCCAAACCTACCTTGAGCAAGAGTACCTCTTGTATGGCCGAAGACGAGCTTTTCATAGAATCATAGGCATTCGAGTGCTCCGAGTGACCAACGAGTCTCACCGCAGTTTTCCTCACCTACCCTCACAGACTAGAGGGAAAGAACAACAAGCTATCTGGAGCTCTGCAATTTGACACAGCTCACCGCAATCCGCCAGAGTTCCCTGCGACTTCCACCGGTGGCTCCGTCACGCCGCAAAGATGAGTGGAGGATGGAATACCAGTGAGTGACTTCAGCTCCTCCAGCTGTGGGATGGATTTGTGTGCAATTGTTAACAGTCGTAGTTGAGTCTGATGCTGTAGGTAGAACCCAGGCTGCTTGCATAATCACGAGCTTTCAGAGCTTCGAATGCGCGCATAACCGCTCCAGCTCGACAAATTTTTGCTCTGAAGATACGATTAGACTAACATGTGGCTATTCAGGGCGTCTTTACCTACCTCCTCGACAACCTAGGCGTCAAAGATGTGCAGTTCGAAGAGCTACTAAGCCTGGATGCAGACGCTCTCGCGCAGCTGCATCCCGTCTATGGCGTGATTTTCCTCTTTAAATATCCGACGAATGCTCCCTATACAGCGACCGACAAGCCGCTCGACGGTACCTTTGACCATGACGCAGCCGAGAACATATTCTTTGCCGCTCAGACGATTCAGAATGCCTGCGGAACCCAGGCGCTGCTCTCTGTGGTTCTGAACAAGAATGATCCCGGGGCTGGAGATGCGGGCTTCGTGGAGATGGGAGACTCGCTCAGTGACTTCCGCGAATTCACAATGGCGCTACCGCCTGAGTTCCGCGGCGAGGCACTCAGCAATTCGGAGCTGATCCGGGATGTGCATAACAGCTTCGCCAAGAGCAGTCCGTTCGTGGACGAGACGCAGCGGACGAGTGGGGAGACGGAAGATGCGTTCCACTTTGTGGCATACACGCCGGTAAATGGGACTCTGTATGAGCTGGACGGACTGCAGCCGGCGCCGATCAGTCACGGCTCCTGCACCCAGGAAGACTTCCCGCTGAAAGTGATGGATGTGCTACAGCGGCGCATTGCCAGATACGAGGCGACGGAGATCCGGTTCAACCTCCTGGCGATGATTCGTGATTTGCGCATTCGGGCGAGGGAGATTGGAGACTTTGAGCTGCTGGCCCGAGAGGAGAAGAAGCGGAAGGACTGGCGGTTCGAGAACGCACTCAGAAGGCATAACTTCGTCGGCTTTGCGGGCGAGGTGCTGAAGGGTGTCGTGGCAACAAAGTTGAAGGATGGCGAGGGTGCGTATAAGCAATGGGTCGATGGTGCCACGGCCAAGATGAAGAAGAGGATAGAGGAGAAGAAGAAAGGGGGCGGCGGCGATGATATCGAAATGGAGGTTTAGCTGGGTCGCTGCATTCTGGCCATGGCACCGACTGGTCCCAGAGATTTGCATGAGTTGCGATGCTTGCATGTTACGATAGACTCAATCTCGCTGGGGTCAATAACGAACTAAAGACATAAATACGCACTTTTCTACGGGCTCCTTACAAACGGCCTTGATGTTTTTGAAGTGGAGAAGCATTAAAACCATTGTGCTCGATTAGACGATGTGGGCTGGTCAATTTGATTAAACCCCTGAGGGTAGTACTTGCCCAGTCGACATCATTCGGTGTAAGTCGTCGAGTGATGCGCACCTACTTCATGAGACTCAACAACCCCGAAATCGAACTTCATCAGCAACCAAGGCAAGTACCGCCCTAGCACGGGAATGAAAGAGCCTACAAGGTATTGAAAGCTTGCCTTTGGTCTCACTCACCTCACTTGCCCTCAATCTCTTCTTCCTTCACACAACAAACAAAAACGGCCTTCCCTCGTTTTGACACTCGTTCACTTACGATCATCATCCTATCCAGTTTCTTGGAATCACCATTCGTTATCATCCCCGATATCTATCGAGATCATCCCATTACTCTCACTGCCTCGATTTCGGAGCAGTAGGCCGCGCACTGGAAGGTGATCTTGACTGCGTCAAGCGTATCCGAATAGTCGCGACTGAATCCATACTCCTCAAACATTCCCGTCCAATATCATCCAATATGGACAAGCCTTCTCGTCACGGCGCCGATGGGACTGAGCTTCGTGATTTTGGGGCGAATCACACTGCTGATAGCACCGTTGCCCAAGTGAACGCTCAGAATCACAATGCTTATAACCTCCTTCCCAATCATCACCATCAAGACACAGCTCGAATATCTCAAGCCGCAGAGAGCACGAGCAATAAACCTGTAGGAGTTCAAGAGGCTTCCCAAAGAGCCCCAGATCCTTGGCGTGCAGAGGATGTGGCTCTCTTCGACTACGAGGACCGCCATCACCCTCATCGACAATACTGGGCCGGAGTTGCAGCTCAGTCAATCGCGAGCGGCACAGGGGTCGCAGGTCTATACCCAGGTTCTGTCATCCGTGCTCAAAGGGATGAGATGCATCAGCGTACCATGGCTGAAGCCCAGGCTTTGAACGCCAATCAGCGAAGTCCCCAGTCACAGTCACACGCTCACCCCGGACCCCGGACCAGGGCCATTCGCGTTCCTCGCAGAGGCAATACAGCACGCACAGGCTTCCGTCTGCGTGGCCGTGGCCGCGGAAGTCGTAGAGGTGCTTCGAGCCGTGACAATAATCCCAATAACAATCCTGATGTCAATCTCCTTCGCATCGATTCCCCGGCTAATCCCTTGTTGAACCCACTCCGAGACTCGGTCGATGATCCCTACTCGCTGTGGTCCAGACAGCAGCTTGAACTACAAGATGCTCATTCACGAGAGATCCATCGAATCAAGAATCTTTGCAAATGGCCTGGACGAAAACATCACAATCCGCTCCGTGTCTCAAGAGAGACAGATTCGGACCAGTTGGCTGGACTCTCTTGCCCCTATCTTGGCCGAAGAAAGAAGTCTCAGTCGGCTGACGCTCTCTCGACCGTTTCATCTCATGAGTGCAGGTCTGGACTCGATGAAACACCACACACGGCTACGAAGAAGCCACAAATTGAGGTCACCGATTCCGCGGACAAATGTGCTGTTCATGAACCGAAGGCCAGAAGAAATCGAGAACTCGCCAGAGATCTGCTTTGTCTAGTTGAGCAAGCTGCCAGAGAGAGCCAGAACAGAGTCCCCGGAAATGATCCATACACCCTTGACAGACAGCCAGTTTTGCCCGCGTTGAAGAATTCACCAGGTGTCAATGGCAATGGCAGTGATGCAGGCGATCTTGATTGGGTCGATGGTCCTGGTCGTGGAGACGGTTCTGAAGATGATTACAACGAAGCGTCTGACCACGGTCATGGTGGAGAAGGAGACGAAGATGCCAATGAACCCCAAGATGGCGAAGATGAGTCTGAACAGGATTCAGACGAAAATGAAGGTGAAAGATCATCTGATGAGAACTCCTCTCCAAGCTGGACTGGGTTTGAACGTGGCTTGTACATGCCAACTGCTTCTGAGAATCAACGAAACTTTAGACCCCGATCAGCACCTCCAGCTATCGAGACAGTCCGAGCGGACCGCAACCACCGCAATCGATTCGATCGACACTACGGAATCGGCGGATTCAGAATAGTAGAACTCGCAGTCGATACCATGCGCGGGCAGCATAACTCAGCCAGCTCAGCCAATTCCTCGAGCTCCTCGAATTCATCTGCGGACGACCGGCCCCCTACCCCCTATCCACCACACCTTGCTATCCGAACGAACGACGATGACAACGATGACGACGACAGTGGCTATGAGCGATTTCCCGATATCGATCCTGCTATTCTCTACATAGGGTTGGATGAATACATTGGAATCAATACAGGCGACCCGAGTTCCTCTTCTGCCAACAACACTGATGCGCCTCACAATGGTGCTCAACCAGATTCCAACTCTGCGCAACATGAAGAAGTCTCTTCTTCCACCAACAGTGACGATGAACTGCAAGCCGTTTCTCAGCCAGCGTCTATACCTCAGCAGCAAGTAGAGGTCTCCGCTCTTGTCGACAACGTTGATGGACCACAGACTATTGCTGAGCGCAGGTCCAGCTCTAACCAAAACGAAGAAGTTCCCACTTCCTCCAACCACGCTGAGTCCCACATTATCGTTCCGGTAGAGTCTAACTCTCAACCTCATGAAGAAGATTCAAGTCCTGCCAACGATGCAGACGCGCCTCACGATATCACGCCCGCAGAGTCTAATTCTCAGCAGCATGAAGGAGGTTCAGGTCCTGCCAACATCACAGACGAACGACAGACTATTGCTCAGCCCGACTCTGTCTCTCAGCAAAACGGAACTGTTGAAGATGAGAACTAGAGGTCAGTTGATGGCACAGCTCAGACTGCCGAGAGCAGCGCTGGTAGCAGTTCCACATGTGTTGCTGGACGTGACGATAAAGACAAGAAGAAAAGCAAGAAGGCCGTTCTCTCGGGCAAGGTCAAAAGGCTGACAGAACGGATGAAATTCAACAAGTCGTTCAAGCGCAGACGCGACAGAGGCCCGGATGGAGATGGAGGTGCTGGTGCTGGTGGTATTAGCTACATGGCCCCGGCGGCTTGAAGCGAAGCACCGGCAAATCATCACTTCTGTTGTTTGAGGACGATGAACGGTCGTTTAGTAGTACACGTGGTCAGCGTTTTGTTTCAGGGAATTAATGTAATAACCTCGAAGGCATGGCTTTACTGGACATGCCTCGTTTAATACACAGAGGCACTTGTAAGCGGCTTCATAGATAATAAATAATTTGTTCGCACACGTCTCACGAGCATTTGATCATCTTGAACCAAGCACACTAGGGAATAAAATTAATGATTCTATTAGCTACCCTACCTAATTGATGGAAGCAGGTGTAGCATCGCCGAAACATGTCATGAAGATGAGTTTCTGATGAATCATAGGTGATGGCTATATAACTGACAGCCACTTGCTCCTCATGACTCCCTGGGATGTCTATGTTTGCTGCTCGGATGCCAAATGAGCCCAGCAATGTCACGTCGTATTTTTTATGCCCACGCTATACTTACGACCTCTAGCAAAAGCCATATAAAGGACAAAAGACTCGAAACTGTCAATGGACTAGGCGAGCTGGCGTAGTTGCAGCCCCGGATGACTTCTGGCGGAATCGCAGACAGCAGGGCCGTCGATAATGTCCAGTAGGTGAAGGTTCAGTTCCGAGCCGAGTTACCTTTTTGGCTTTTTTTTTATTCATCTCAACTTGTTATTGTTATGTTTGCCCCTTTTTTGCGATGGTGTTGTGTTGCTCGGGTGAGATGTATCACAGCAGAACGTGACATGTTTACAAACAAAGTAGTAATTGGGACAAGAGTCTGACAAATTTTTCACAAGACGTTGACCGCCTGGTCAGGCAAGGCTACGGAGGCGGTTATGACTGCTCCTTTCCGACGAGGTATAGGAGGGAATATCCTAGATAGGAGAGCGGTGAAGGGGCGGTGTAAGCCTCATCTCTATCAGCTGGATTGCCTACTTATCTATCTAATCCTGATATGGCTGCCTTCTTTTCCAATTCTCGGTCTACGGCTCTATACACGGCGGGCACAGAGAAGATCTTAATCATGACTGGATAAGGCGGCCTAGTATGGGCGGTGGGAGCCTGTTCCGATCTGGGGAAGTGGAATTTCCGCAGCCTCGTCGGCCCCCAGCCCACCCCCCGTTACTCACCGCTTTGCCCTGTCTTGCCTGCTTGAGCTTAGATCGGGACTTTGAAATTCCAAACGATCGGTACGGTGTGGAGTTGACTGCCTTAGTTTGTTCTATTCCTAAACCGAGCAAGGTCAAATTTAGGTAGCTCAAGGCTTGACCGCGGCAAAGTTGTCCCAAGGTAACGGTACGACCAACGACCTTTCTTGGCCTGGGGCGTCTAGACGGGTGCCTTGCTTGGGTGGGACAAGCACACACCTTGCAGGCACACCGTAACACAATCACGGAGATACACCTCGAGTTGGTTTTTTGAAGGGCTTGCACTCGTCAACGACCAGACGGGGCGAGGACCGGTGTGATGGTCACCGTTCCGCTGCATGGTCTGGGACTAGTATGAGGGGATAATCGGGGAAGATCCAATATTACTACTGTCACAGCAGACCCCATAAACGTCTGGAGAATGGTTGCACCGGTAGTTTCTGGGGTATAATAGGCTCACGCTAGAGACCGAATCATGATGCGCGAGATTCTGATGTTACACGATCGTAGGAGTCAGCTGTCTGGCTGCTGCAACCCGCACATCGTGTCTCAGGCCTCGCTCCCCCCTTGACCAAAGGGGAAGCTGCCCCGAGCATCGTAAATCCGCGACGAAGGCACCGGATGGTAACATGTATAGCAAATTGGCAGACAATTGATTGGAGGGCTCCGGTGGACGCATGTTCTATGCTGCCCACCCCCACATCAGATGCCAGCCCCTGGGAAGGTGTAAAGCTCGCGTGCTTGATCATGAGATGATTAATGAGTGTCAATGTCATTATGGTATTCGAACAAGAATGAGTCAAGACGAGATAGAGGGACGGGGCAAAGCTACTCGTAATAGGTAACAGAGTCGAGCAGAAATGGACGGGTTGCAGAACCGAGGATACTATCGTTGACCAATCGAAGCGGCGTCCTCGAGCACGCAGTAATCATTGTGTCTTCATCGCCTCTTTCTGCATCAATCAATCTGCTGCGTCTGGATGCACCCCGCTGACTGCCCTCCACGGCATGCGTGCACTCCAGCGGTTCCCCCATCCTCCCAGCAAAGCTGAACATGATGGCGTCACACCAGGCTTCTGAGTCGCCTGTCTGCTTGCATGCCTGCCTACGGGGAGGAGGGCTTGCGTCTGCTTCATGTAGGGAAAAAGAAAAGGTAAGATGAAAGGCAAGATGCATGTATCTCTGCGCGCCGTTGGATAAGATCCGAGAGCCTGCAATGGCTAGGGATGCTCCCTGTCTCCCGCTCCAATTGTGGCTTCGGGTGCAGCTGGGCTAATGAATGTTGCGCTTTGTGACGGCTTCTTTTCGTCTTCTCTCTCTTTTCATCTTCCTTCGTCCCGCTCTGACGGAAGGCGGAACTTGTTAGCAGCTTATGCGCGGGGCAGGTCTCGGCCTTGTACCGGGGACACTGGGTGCTGATGTGTCGACAGCTCTGTGGGCCAGCGGCGCCCTGGCCAACCGGAACCGCTGGTCAGAGGGAGATGATGGCGAGTAGAGGCGCATGTACGAATGCATGGGCCTATATGCAATGTGAAGAATGATGCCAGAGCGGACGACGACAGGCGAAGTGGGAAGTGGAGACGTGGAGAAGTCGAGCAAATGCGTCGCTCATGTATGGAACCGGATTGCTGGATGGCATGGAGCTTGGAGCTCTGGCAGCTCGGGTCCAACGCACGAGAAGACGGTTGTGGTAAGGCGTGGCGCACCTTGGACAGATTATGGTGGATGACTAGTTGTCCAGAAAGGATTACACTGGCTATCGTGGCCATCATATACGGGACGGCACGGGGAATTAGTACAATGTCGATCTCGGATATAGATAGCTCGATTCGGCATCCAAGACGTCGACGAATGTGTCGCTGGAAGACTGACTAGAAGACTTGACGGAGGTATGACAAAACGCAATGAAGGTTCAATGTCATATTTGTATTCTTTTGCAGTGACATCATTCTCTCGTACAATCACTGCTATGTATACACTGTTCAGCCCTCCCTTAACAAAGCAAATCTCTAAACTCCTGATATGCACTGATCGCATAGAACTTGTGGGTATCGAAAGCTGCAGTCTGGATACTAGACCAGAACACCGTAAAACCCCATCAAAGTCAGGCTCCGAGCCAAGTCGTGTTCCCGAAACCCAAATGTAACCCCGTTAGCACAAGAACCGTTTTCTGATGCCGTCCGTCCCAGAAAGCAGAACGCTGTTGCAAAAATATAGTATGAAATACGGATATGAAATGGGTATAGGACGCAGTAGTCGAATACAATTGAGATAGCGCCACTTGAAGCGGGCTTCTGAGCGGACCGAGAAGAATGTAATCGTCGCTAATTAAACGTATCCCCCGGTAGACTAAGGACCGGTGGAAGCTGCTCAAAGCAGTTTCCGGAGGAAATAAAACGTGGTGTGGCAAGAAAATTGCATGATCAAGGAGATTGATCTGGAAGAGATTGGTGGCGTCTTTGAGATAGTCGCGCCCAAGAATCTGTCCTCGGAAGAATGTCGATATCATCGGGAAACTTCGTGAAGCGAGGTGCCTCTACATCTGCAGAAGTGACAGGTCCCTGAAAAGAATCGGGGGGTATGTTTGCATCATCCCGGGACCAGAAATACAATACATCTTGCTCCCATCTGTTGATATCCCAGATGGAGAGATGCGATAGAAAGGTCGAGTGAAGAAGTTCTACTTCCATTGGGGAAGTGCGGAGCTTTTGTAAAAGCCATCGATTTATTAAGTCAGACTTGTCGCCTTCCTTGAAGTCTGAAACGAGCATTTCAATGTTGAGTTCCTTGCTAGCTGCCGCAAATACAGCCTGCCTCGTTGGATCATCATCTGGAAGTCGCATCGCTTGTTGAAATGCTCTCTTGGCCGTTAACGGAAAATTAATGTTGAGTATATGGGACGGATTTGTCAACAGCAAGGGGTATTGAGGGTGCGCCAACGATTCGTCACCTTCAAAGTTGAGGGACATATCGTCATCGTCGTCGTCGTAGATGTCGGGCTGAAAGCTGTATATCTCGTGCATTGGGGCGTGCTGGGGGAACACACCCTTCTCCTCGCAGAGAGCTTTGAGACGACTGACTTCGCTACCGCACTTTTTGATTTCATCTTGCGCTTCTCTGTGCAGACTTTCGAAGTTGCGAATGGTCTTCTCATATTCCGAATGTCGTCGACGAGAGGCCATGCTTTCTCGAGGGTGAAGTTGTTGAACTTGCCTCCTGTGTTCTTGCTCTTGTTCGGCGACTAATTTATTCATGATGAGATCTTCAAGATGTTCCTCGGCAAGTTGCAGGTTTCCAACAGCGGACATGAACTCATCGTACAGAGGATGAGTGTCCTCACGCCGAGCTGTGGGTATGCCCAGTAAGGAAGTCCGTGATGGCGGTACGTCGTCTTCGTCCGAGAAGTCATGGGGGCGTTTTCTCTGAGGCCCAGAGGGTGTATACAGTGCCTTTAAGAACTGTCTTTCGAGAAAAGTTGCCTGGGTTTCTGCCCTGCTCAGCTTGTCTTCTAGTTCCTCTATGACGGCCTCGAGCTCTTGATACTCAGTTCGAGTGGATTGCATATGTTTGAAACGTGAATCAAGCGATTCAAGTGTAATAGAGTGCGAGTCGGGTGCCCCTTTGGTCAGCAATGGCCGAAGTATAGCCATGAATGAGTTGTCAGCTGTGTCCTTGGTCTCCCGGCTACTTTTGAGTTTCCTTCGCTGCTGATGAATCAGCCCCCTAAGTTCTTGGATCTCATCCCGCTTGTCTTCAAGGCGTTCATAATCTTTATCTAGACGGTGGTGACGTTGCTCCTCGCTGTCTTCAGAGGAAGACGAAGAATCAGAATCATCCCCGGCATTCCACCTTGCAGTGCGATA